ATAAAAAAAAATAAAAAAAAATAAAAATCACAGAGGCAATAATAGTTTGAATGCTTCAGACAGGAACAAGCACTCAATCATGGATGTTTCACACAATAATTAAACCTCAAAAGCTATTTTCTCCCTTCGCAATACGTAATCTAGCCATTTAGGGTTTGTAAATTAAAGATAATTTTTTTTTTTTTTTTTGTACCTTTTAAATCGGATGACCGAGTGGAAGTGATGGCTGGTCGACTAGTTGACACGGAATTCGCCAGACGGTGAGTGAAAACAGTCCTCACTCTGCAAAGATTTTAGAGATTGCTACAATGGAGACTGAAGATGAAATTGAGAAGGAAGAAGGGAACAAAATTCTTACTATGTTACGAGGATATGAACGAGCAGACTTGTGGAGAATTTAGGAAGTTAGTTGTATGTTTGGGCTTTGTTGTTTATTTGTTTCATTGGGCTGGGCCAATAATCTATCTTTATATTTTGGGTCATTTACACATATCTCATACGATTCAACAAATTTTGTAACTCTCCAATCCCACTAAAAATAATTGCATGTTTAAGATTTAATTATATTACTTCTTATTGGCAGTTACCATTCCCCTTAATTTACGTTGATACCATATATAGTAGTTTAGATTTCCTACTAATTAGGGTGTTCAATTCAATATAACTGTCGTTTTCTTAATTTGTGGAGATCGTGGTTTTTTAATTCTCATGTTTTTTAATAGCTAGTATATATTGTGTATATATTGAGTATATATTCAATTTTTCCAGTTCTCGTGTTTTTTAATAAGTAGTATATATTGTGTATATATTGAGTACATGTTAAGCTTTTTTTTTAAATAAACAGTATATATTGTGTTTATAGTCAGTATATAGTAAGTATATAACCTAATTTTTTATTTACATAGCATTTTTGTTTACTACAATTGTGATATTTAAATTTCAATTGTCAATTGTTTTTAATGAACAATATATATTGTGTTTATAGTCCGTATATGATAAATAAATTAAACACGGACCATATGAGAAACACACGAAACACGAAACACGAAAACATATAAGAACATATATTGTTTATATACGCAACATATACTGCAGATTATAGTTGTGGGAGCATATATTGAAAAATATATTGTATATATACGCAACATATCCTACAACATAATAAATTAAACAAAAAAAATTCTCCAAAAAGTTGAAACATCATCCATCATTGATCATACATATATTGAATATAAACTAAAATAAAAACAAAACAATGAAAAAGATCATTATTAAAAAAACAGATAAACACAAGTATCCCCCGACGTCGGCGGGATCGACGAATCCGAGGACCCCGGCCCGCCCCTTTCTTCCCTGACCTCGAGATCGCGATCAAATCCTCCATCTGAATACTAGTCAACGTCGCCTTCCCCAAGCTTAATTGGGGCCGCCTTTCCCAAGCTTAACTGTAGGGCTAGCGCCGGCAAACCGCACTCCGGTCGTTGGAGGGTCAACGCACCTCCTCGGTTCAAGCCATGGGTCGCCCGTCTTCGACCGTTAAAAATAATAAATAAAAGTTTTAACAGTAGGAAGAGAGAAAATTTTATGCGTAAAATTGTAGAAGAAGAAGTAGGAGAAGGAGAAGAAGAAGGAGAATAAGAAGAAGAAGAAGAGAGGAGAGAGAAAAAAAAAAAAAGAAAGAAAGAGAGAGAAAGTGCCGTGCTTTTGGGAAGTGATAAGTTTTCTATTAATTACTCCCAAAAATTGATTACATATGTAAATTAATGATTTATTGGTAGTTTTGCAAATAAAAAGTCTCTTACCAGTTGAATTGCTATTATTTATAACTTGGTCTCATTAATGTAATAAAAAAATAAATGTATCGTAAAGGGTATAAATTTCTCTTATATTTTACCTTAACCTTCCATTTCACATGGAAGTTGAACTGGTTACATTAGGAGAGCATTTCATGATCCAATAAAAAAAAAAAA